CACACACACACACACACACACACACACACACACACACACACACACACACACACACCAGAGCTGCAGCTATGAGTTAATTTACAGGTTAGCTGATCAACATAAAAATAATTATAAATAATTTTAAGCACAAGTCAAATATTCACTAAAATGTTTTCTGCTTTTTTTTCCAGCTTTTTGAGTTTGTAATTAAGTTATTAACTAAATCAGCATTTTGAAAACATAAGCTTAAGCTGACATCTTTCAGTCTAACAAACTTCTAAGTCAGTAATGTAATCAGTCAGCTGTACTGTTATCGTGGCCAAACATTCAAACAATAAACACATTTACCTCTATGCACCTTGTTATCATTCCCAACTCTGTTATCAGGAGCCCTTCTTATTGATCACGCATGTTGGAAAGGAGCTTCTCCATCTGACACCTATGCAGCTCTCAGGTAAAAAAAAAAAAAAATGTAAATTTGCAGTTGTCTAAAATATTTTTTAAAAATGCACTATAATTTTGTTACTATTTATCATTATTTTTTTGTCACTTTTTTTTTTATTTTCCAGGTGGTGCGAACAGGACTTGTGTCCCGTGGCAAGGAACCAGAGAAGAGGTCACTATGATTCCAACGCTTCACTTGATGCTGCTTTAGTCTTTGACCAGTCGATACAGGGCTGAAGAATCACTGCTGAGCCCTGCGGTCTGTCTTAGTGACAAACAGATTTATTGTCTGCTATATTATTGTTTGTGTTTTTGTGGATGACTGAAATCATGTTTCATTAAAAATGAAATTCGGTCTTGAATAGGCATGTAAATAAAATGGAGAATGGGTTGTGTCTTCAGTATCAGAGTAAATACTGGACAGTAAATTGAAATGTGAATTCCCACAGTTAAATGTAGTTTTTTAAATAAAGGCAAATGATCAGCAGCCCAGAGATTAACTTCACATCATAAGCAAAACAGGCCCTGACTGACCAGGTTCATACACACTGCCTTACTGTACTGCTGGAAAACCTGCACATACATATTGATGTATAAACTTTAAAACAGTAAAAACTTGGCAGTTTTAACGCAATTTTCTGATATTCATTAAACTGTAGTGACTTTAACTGTGAGTTTACTGAGTCACTGTGCTTTTTATTTTCAAAAATGAACATTGCTCCATGTGATACACAGCAAAAACATAAAATAAACACCCAAACAATATCCAACACCCCTTTTTAAAATATGTTGATATATATCGAGGTGGGAGTAGGTGCGAAATGTTTTTTTTTTTCTAATGGCGATAAATACTTTTTACTCAGAAAACATATTGTTGCACTTGTTTTCTGTACATTTTTTTTTGCAAATTTAGATGTTCAATATGATTTTTGCAAACAGGAAGTTATATCAGACATTCGAACACTGCAAGGCAACCTGAAACAATAAGACGGGGCAGAAAACCGATCGGTTTTTTTTGTGATTTCCTGCCTCTTTGGAGCTAAAAGAGGCCATCCATGAGATACGTCATGAAATACACGAGATGTTTAGCACATCAGGACTTTGTAGGGTAGCTCAAATGAGTCAAAAAAATATAGACCATAAACAAATGTCTATTATAGAGGCAATAAATGAATAGGCTGGTTCTCTGGAGTATATACCTCTAATAAACTAAGCTTTTGAATACACATATTAACGTATTTTAACAGCCTCGTATTTGCTGTTTACCTTTTGCTGTCTGCATTCCAGCACTCGTTCCTTTGCTTCTTCTGGGTTTACGAGGAGTCCGTGAACGTGGCACATGTCTGATTGGGAAAGCAGTGGGAGGAGTTTTAGAGTAAGGTGTACAAAATGTTCAACGGGATTGAATCTGAGCGTAGACTGTGTGAACGCTTGAAAACAAGTTATTTAAGACCAGTAACAAATACGACAACCGGGACATGTTTTTGAGGTCTTCGACTTAATTTTTAGGCTAACCGCCCGGGAATTAAAAGAGTAAACCAGCCCACGGATGTCCTGTTAGCTTCCCAGCAGAATGGAACTGGCTCCGGGATAAAGTGAATCATGTTTTGCGGTATTTTCTTGCCACTTTTCGTGGTGCTGCCGTGTGGCTGGCAGCTCACCTCGGGCTCAGAGCTTTTACGAAACGAGTCTGGTGTCCGGGTTGGAATGGCTGGACGTTGGTCCTCACCGGTGATGGCTGAAAACAACAATGATGAGGTCAGTGAAATGTTTTTCTTTGCTTTTGATGGGAAATGAGCGTGTTATCTGTGAGTGCTGTATTTTATTATCAGGTGTTCGTCAGCTGCTTGTTTTCTGGTTCAGGTCAGCAAAGTTTTTTTTTGGTTAGTTTTTTTTTCCACCTGTCACATGATTAGCGAAAGCTAAGGGCGTAAGTCAAGTTTGATCGGCTTGGTTCACATCCGTCAGTAAACTATAGACCCTCAGTGCAAAGCTGAAAAGAGCACTGAATGTGTGTGGTATACAGAAGGACCTCTGCATGGGTGGGTGGTGTGCTTTTGCTTGTTTTGCAGTGGATGGAAAAACATACACAAAATTTGATCTGACATCTCATTCTGATTAGGGAATGTAGGTGTCTGATTTAAATCAAGTAAATCGAGCCCTCATGCCAAGCATAATACACACTGCAGTTTACCACTCCTCATCAAGACAGGTTTAGCTCAGGTAAAGCATCCCATACTCAGGACTCCCATCGGTCCACAGTTTTTGTGAAAATACGAAATACCCAGGGCCATCAGCTGTCACAAGCGGAAATGGTTAAGTCGGGATCTGAATTGAGTGAGCCTCATCCTCTATTTTCTTTTTAAAAACTGTATTATTTCACTCAATTCTTGACCCCCTTCGTCATTTTATTTGTTACAGTTTAGCAGTTTCACTCGTCACATGCAGTTACGCTGAAAAGGTATGCCATATATGTTGCCTTAAGGAAACTTGTATGGCAAGTCTTGTTTTTTACGTTTTCCAGTAAAGGTGAATTCAGGTGTTTGTTTATTGCTAAGGTTGTAGTGGTTGGCGTTGTACTAGACTGAATTTTAACGAAATGTGCAAATAATCATCTGGACAATATCAGTTTATCACAATTTATCTCTGTAAAGGTGATGAGTAGACTTGGATTGCATCAAAGTTACACCTCCGTTAGAGGTGTGTGTGTGTGTGTGTGTGTGTGTGTGTGTGTGTGTGTGTGTGTGTGTGTGTGT